AATTGTTTTTTTTGTTGGTTTGTTTTTTTTAATGTTTTTACCTTAACTTCAAGTGCAATTCGGTAACTTGTACCGGCTGGCACCACCTTTTGAAAGAAAGCAAAGCACAGTTGCTGGCCATTAGGCAGTCTGGGGATATCGGGCTGTAAGGCAGGGAGCTATGCAGTGTTGAAACCCACCAGTCAGAAAAGAGTGAGATGTGGGTCTCCATTCGACAGCCTCACTTCCAGCTAGCACTTCTCTGTCATGCAGAGTTCTTGCACATGCAAAGGTTTCACCATAAAAAGTCATTGGTAAATGTGTGTGCCCTTACACGGGGCCGGCCCACAACATTTTGGCACCTGAGCCGGGGAGCTCAAATGACGCCCCTATGCCCCCTCGCTTGGGTCAAAACTTTGAAAGGTCTCAATTGTGCCTTCTTCCTGTTCTTCTCCTCTCATGGTACTGTTCTGCTACCTACATATGCACCAGCGGCAGACACAATTTTCTACACTCTGGGTCCTAGTGGCACCCTCTCTCTCCCCCCATAGTCTGGTACCTGAGGCAGCTGCCTCAGTTTGCCTCATGGTGGGGCCAGCCCTGCTTAGAGACCTTCAATGCCTGCCCTTGAGGGATCATGGAGGGGGTCCTACCAGTGTAGTTGCCCTGACATAAGCAGAACCCTGAGATTCTATAAATCTGCAGAGCTATACTTGGAGGAGGCAAAGACGTCTGCACGTATTTGTTTTGTAAATTGTTCTGACAACAGAACATTGAGGGTAAAATCCTGGTTCGCTGATTGCAAAGGAAGTTTTGCCATTAATTTCATAGAATACTAGGACTGGAAGGGACCTCGAGAGGTCATCGAGTCCAGTCCCCTGCCCTCATGGCAGGACCAAATACTGTCTAGACCATCCCTGATAGACATTTATCTAACCTACTCTTAAATATCTCCAGAGATGGGGATTCCACAACCTCCCTGGACAACTTATTCCAGTGTTTACTACCCTGACAGTTAGGAACTTTTTCCTAATGTCCAACCTAAACCTTCCTTGTTGCAGTTTAAGCCCATTGCTTCTTGTTCTATCCTCAGAGGCCAAGATGAACAAGTTTTCTCCCTCCTCCTCATGACACCCTTTTAGATACCTGAAAATGGCTATCATGTTCCCCCCTCAATCTTGTCTTTTCTAAACTAAACAAACCCAATTCTTTCCGCCTTCCCTCATAGGTCATGTTCTCTAGACCTTTAATCATTCTTGTTGCTCTTCTCTGGACCCTCTCCAATTTCTCCACATCTTTCTTGAAATGTGGTGCCCAGAACTGGACACAATACTCGAACTGAGGCCTAACCAGCATAGAGTAGAGCGGAAGAATGACTTCTTATGTCTTGCTCAGTGGGGCTATGATTTCACCTTTTGTAATTCGGAATGCTCACTTAAAAAAAAAAGTGGAGCTGAGGAGAAAGTAAGTTTTTCTCTTACTTTCCCCATCTCTTCAGCTTAAATTTTTTTGTTCCCAAAGGAAAAACCTCTTGCTGTGTATTGTTACAATATTCATTTGTAGTTCCTTAAAATACACAATGTTACTTTTCAAAATTGCTGGCAACTTATTTCTATTAATACTTTTTGGCAGACTTTCAATTCAGCTTAGTCTCCCTTTTCACATGTACAGTTCTTTTCAGGCTCATATGAAGTCACATCTAAGTGGCAGACTTTAGGGTATAATCAAGTACTTGGACATCAAAGTCACTTCTTACGTTCACAGACATTTGCATGTACATTTGAAGCAAAAGCAAGGCAGCAGTGCTGAGGTTGAGATGCAAGTCAGGCCCTTTTGTAATCATTCTGCTCTCTGTTAGAAAAACCTTCACAATTTATTAATGCTCCTTGGGTATCTTTATTTTCATCCATTCTTCCTGGAGCTCAATATTATAGAGAAATCATTATGATTTGTGACTGTCATGAAATTAACAATTATTGATTTACTGGCATTGCAAGAACATACATTTATTATGCTGAATTTATGTATTCATTTACCTTTGCACCAAACTATGGCTTGGGATTACAGCTACAGTATAGTGCTAAGTGTTACATTTAAAATGTGTTCTGTAAACTCTTTCATTTTTGTTTGACAGCATTCCCTGTTAAGTTTTCCTTAGTACCTTTTGCTCTGCAGGCATCTCAAAGGCCTATATACAAAGCATTGTTTCAGACTGAACAGGTGAGTGTTTGCATTCCACGGTACCTTACACTCAGCAATGTGCATCAATGATGCCTGTTCGGATTGGGAAGCTGTTCAGGACACTTGAACAGTTCCCAGTTGCATTAGATGGGTAGGAGAGGGAAGTAAGGAGGAATGTGGGCTCTGAGCTGTTTTCTCTAAAGGGGTAATGCAGTAGTAGCTACTGAACTTTATTTCCTTGCCCCAGGCTCATGACATGGGCCAAGGTCGCAAACTGCTAATACCCATCACACTGTAGGAGTCTGTAACCAGTAATTCCTGCTTTATATCAAAGGAAGTTGGGTGAGGGCATACACTGGTAACTCTAAGACAGCTGTGTCAATTGTGCTTATCATCTACTTTGTGTATTTGCCCTGATTTTTTTTTTTTAAAGGGGGTATGAAATATCCCACCTGGAGATGCCCATATGAGAAGAGGCATAACCTCCATTTCAAGCCTCTAAGACTAAGTGAAATAAAGGCTCACTGGTCTCCTTGTCCTAGTTGCTCCTGCAGAGATCTCTGGCTTGAAATCTACTACAGCTGGGGAGGGAATGAACCAACACATCCCTCTATTCTTCACCAACCACTTCCCACTAATGCAGATGACCAAAGTGTGCACTTTTGTATGGTATCTGCCCCATGTTCTGGACCCCTAAGGTGGCCTTTTGAAACAGCTTTAAGAGGCCCTAACAGTGTGACACCATAAACTAAGCCATGCGGGAGACCAAAACCCCAGGACTTCCATGCAATCTACCTTAGTTCTTGGTACACAACTCCTCAAATCTGAGTACTGAACTCTGAATTTCATGTGTTCTGAAATAACAGGTTTATTTATCCCTGACAGAATAATACAGTAGAAAGTTTCTGGTCCTAAATATGGATTTTTTTTTTATATGGCTAAGGATCAGTTTGACAAATCTGTCTCCTTTCTGACTGATACAGCCATCCTGCCCTCTGTTAAAAGCTAAGCAGGACTTGAAGGGACTACGATGGCTTACCAGCAATTATTTATACCTTTTTTTTCCCCTAAAAAAAGTGGAACAGCTTTCACGTACCCGGGCACTAACATCCATTTGATATGTAAAGTTATTCTATGCTCTGTTAGGGGTTAGATCCTCCAGTGAATATGGACTGCAATTTACCTAGGACAATTTATGCCAGCTCCCTAGGATTCCTCACATCTTGCCTAATACCACTGCAGTTATAACAGATTGGAGATAAAATTAGAACATTTGAGAGCTGCTTGATCATGTTGTCTCTCCATATCAGGAGTTTTTTTTTTTCTATTGCTCATTTATTTGGTTCCTTAATGATTTTTAGAACCCAGCTGATACTGGTAGAAACTCAGACTAATTAGTTGGCTAATAAAATAAAGCTCAGAATGGGAATATTCCTGGTAAAGGAATTGTGGACATGTCAAAGTAACAGCTGCAGGCTAACATGTCAGATGTTTTCATTATAAGCAGTAGCAATGCAATGCAGTAAAACAATAAAAGGCTATAACCGAAGTTTCAGTTTTAGGGAGTAGGCTTCAGATCTGTATTTAGCCATTCATGATATAGGTTGAACCTCTCTGCTCTGGCAACATCTGTGGTCCAGCATGATTTTAGTCAGTCAGATGTCTACTTATCATGGAGGTGGTCAAATTTCCCATGGTCCTGTAAAGTTGGCTTACAGCCACGAGTCCTAGTTCTCACTGTTCTGTGCTATTTGATGTGCTTTAGTTTACCCCTACATGTTTTCAAGAGCCCAGTAAGCAGTGGAAGTGTTGGTAATGCCGCTAGACCACAATGACCTCCCATAGTTTGGTAAATTCTCTAGTTTGGCGCTGGTCAGGTCCCGAGGGTGCTGGACTAGAGAGGTTCTCCTTGCACAGAGGCTTGTGCATAATTTTCTTTCCATCTTTTTATTTTTTTTTCATATTGCAGCTGCAATATCTTCATTCAGGCTGCTGATTTAAACAGAATTGCTACAGGTTTGGTTGGTTTTTAAATTCCAAATTCTAATCTTTTGATTCCATCTTTCAGTCTACAAAATTAAAATAGATGGCAGTCTGTACTAAACTCCAGTTAATTCTCTTCCTCCCTCATCTTATTAAACTGTAACTTAGAAAAAAGGGGTACAAAGTCTTTATTTTCATTGTATTTAATACAATGTTAAGAAAGATGCAGGGTAAAATGTCTACATTTTGAAAGGTCAGAATTTTTCAAGTCTCCCAGTTTTAAGTCATTTTCCCCTACCACACAATTTATAGTTGCCCAAGATATTGTACTATTCTGCTCCAGGTGAAGTAAAGAGATAGTATGGTTTAATAAAAGAGAAGCAATAAAAACAATGTTTTAAAGTGGATTTATTAAAGGTTTATTAATATAAAATGTGACCAATACAATTTCTGTAAGAATTTTGAATAAAAAACATATCAAAGAAAGGGAGGAACATTAGTTTTCAGACTCATAGAACAACAAGGAAAAACATTGCGATGAGCAATTTTTCTGCAGCATGTTCTACCAGCTGCTCCCAAGGTGTACAGTATGCAGCCCTGGAGGAGGAGACTAAGGGGCATGGATCAAAGCGGATTATACATATTTCATCATTTTAGCAGAGATTTTAAAATGCTCCTCCCAACATTTAAGAAATTTTCCACAAATAGCAACAATAACTGAAGTAAACTTGGTCTCCTGTTTTGATCTGAAGCATTTATTGTGAAACCAAATGTTTCAAGGAATAGAAAACACTTGGATTTGAAGTTCTATTAATAGCTGCAAAATACATGTTTAGTGTCATTCAGCACTTTTAAAAAAAAAATCCAAGGATTTAGTGCAGATTTGCACTTTATGTAGAGGACTGTTCTACATCTATAGAATTTGTGCTCAAGTCACAATTTTAGTGTCAGATGAGTAACAGCTTCAAGAGACATTTTAGAAATATTAAACTGAACAGCTAAAGTTGTACATATAATCCAGGCAAAAAACTTGAAAGGAGAAAACTTGTCCTGAACTGAAGCGTACTAATACAAACCCCATTTTATAACTTTTTGGGTGGGGTGGATAGGGAGAGGCATCTGGGAGGAATGAAAGTAAAGAAACTTCTGAAATACTTATAGACTAGGCTACTAAATACACTTAATCTAAGTATGTGTAGCAATTTACCTCAAACAAAACTGAATGACATTTCCTCAAGTTCTTTCTTACTAGCCATCTGCATTATTTTTATTACTAGAAGTGGGTACTTGTTTTGACCAAGGCTATATTTTGACATTAGGCTGCATTATTTACTGCTATTGATACCAACATGTGTCTGTCTACAAAGCAAACAATGCAGCAATACAGCAGTTTACAGACTAGATACCGGAAGATTTGGAAGGGTTTTTTTTTTTTTTTTTTTAAAAATCCTTGAATATTAGGAAAACATTCTGCAGAAAGTCTGAAATGTGCTGGTTCAACTGCTACTGTTAAAGATTGCAAACTATCAAATGTCAGCCCAAGAGAGGCCTTGGCCTTATGATCTAGCTGGTAGAGACTATCCATCAGTTGGCCTTGATATAGCTTTCGCATTGACTGACTAAAATGAGTTGTAGATTTTGCCAGCTACCCCAAAAGAAATATTCTCTGAACCAAATTACTGAGGTAAAAGTGAAAGGTCATAAGCCTTTGGCATCAGAGAAACCATTCACTGTTGTGCGTAAGGGGAATTAAGGCTTCAAGGCAAGGTAAACACAGTGAGAGTCAGTGTGTAAATTATGGTGCATTTCAGAGATGGCAGTTCAAAGATAGCTTTATTCTGTTTTCTATACTGAACACCAGCTTGCCACGTACCCTTCCAAAAGTCTATTTGTCTCATGTTGCACACCAGAGAATGTATGCACAAGGGGAGAAAGAGCACCAGAAACTAAGTTGACTTGTACTCGAGGAATAGCAGTTTTAAACATAAAAATCTTATTGCTATAACTTGTGGCAAAGCATATCAGTTTACTGTAACTCACTTAGGTGGTGATTTATACTTCTGGAGATAAGTATTTCATTCCAACACGTCAGCTTGCAGGAGTTAGCACAATATATAAGGAAATCAGTGACCACTGTAGGTATGCATTTCCCAAGACTGTGTTTTTCAGTCTAACCCAAAACAAGTAGTATTCCCCTATGCATTGCATGTTTGGAGGAAAATATTTTTTTTCCCCCACAGAAAACTGACTTTATTCCATTTCTGGGGTACAGCTGCAATGCTACTTTAGATCAGTTTCTGCAGCTCCTGTTGGCTGGAAACGGTAAACCGTAGCCAAGGAGAACTGTGAGGCTCCATGGCTACGGACACTTTAGATAAACAAAGTGGCACAGGCCCGCAACCCACTTTGAGAAACACTGCTTTAGATCAATTCTTGGGGCAAAACCCTTATACTTTCTCAAAACAGACGTAGAGAAATTACTGACTAAATACAAAATATACAAAGTTAATATAATTTTTAATATGCTTATTTTTTCCATGGTTTTTTTTTCCCCCCATCAGTTAACTGAAGCACGCAGGACAGTGTTTTGGTAGCTTATTTAGAGCAATACTCCATTTGATTTTTGTAGTGACCTATCAGGTTGCTTAGCCTTGTTGGCTATGCTGCTACTGAAAATAGAAACCTGTTCTTGGTAGAGTCATTCATTTGAATGAGAGGTTTTGATTAGGTTTATCTATCCTTAATACACAAATTGGTAGAAAATTAGTCCCTCAATAAAATAACTATTCAACTTGTAACAGACATTTGAAAAAACCCAAAGTGAGACCACATTTCTATCACTGGATCATTTTTAAAATACAAAAATGCAGCTGGTCTTACAAAAATGTTTATACAAAGCCCAACTTTGAGTTTGAAACTTTTTTTTAAATACACAGATGCTAGTTAGTAACTTAACATACACTGAGAAAGATGTCCCTTTTTCTTCCCAAAATTGATCTGAACTATTCTGAGGTATCTTTACCAGTTATCTAGAAAATCAAATCCAGTCTTCAAGATAACATTGCTGGTATTAATCTGTAAGAGAAACACAAACTTAGGTTTAAAAGAAAATAGAGCATTACAAATGAACTGACTCTTAGATCTAAGAGTAAATAAAAAAAAATTAAGCCAATGCTTAAAGGCAAATAGTCTATCAACATTTCACATTCTTCCCCTATACTCCTGCATGCCTGAAAAGCATCTGCTCTAGAAAATTAGACATATGTTAAAAATATCCACATAGGAGTAGAGAAAAGGTATTTCTAATTAATAGAGTAATCAGTACTGTGTGTTCTGCTGGTCAAAGGATTTCCTTATTCCCTCTTACTAACTCACATGATTATTTTTCAGGCTAGGAGAGTGGATGAGGGAGAAGAAAACATGCACAACCCATCAACTGTACATTAATTCAAACAGATTACTTATTATGTAAGTAATGACGACACCAACATTATCTACTCATTGGCTTCCCAAGAACTTAATCTCTTACAGTTCAGAAGGCCACTGCCAAGACATTTAATTGAAATCTTGCATACTATAATACTTCTGGAATATTACAGTTTTATACATCTCAGACTGGCTACCATCATATAATGAACTTTGGGTTTATGAAAGGTACTTATCCTATTATAATAGGATAGGAGTAATCTTTTCAGAGTAGGTGCAACACAAGAGTCACACAAATTCATTCATTTCCCCCATCTCGTTTTTCAGCCTAAGTCAGGGAGCCAAATTGGTTGTATTAAACTGAAGTAGCAAACAGACCTGAGAAGTTATCTAAATTTTGCTCTCTAAAAATACATGTTTAAATTCAAAGCTTCAAAACAACATCTGAACTATCAGAATGTAAGGTTAGCTAAACCACCTCAGTTGCCACTAACTTCATAAAGAAATGGGAGAAAACGGTGAAATTCAAGTAAGGCTTCTATACAGAAAATTAAATTTTGTCAAATTTAGATTCAACATTCAATAATTACAAATACAGAAATGGGGTTTTAATTCCGTTGTAAGTGCACATCCCAATGCAACCTTAGTAACAATTCAATAATTAACTCCTTTGTTTAAGAAAACATTTCATTGCCAAAATTTGTTACACATTTTTACAATGTAATATTTATCTTAGAGGGTTGTCTGCCTTAAATTCAAAATGGTTGTAGTGATTCCTGTACAGAATAACTTATCTGTTTGTAAAGTAATTACCTGCCAGAGGCATCGCTATGCTACACAAGAGGTGGTATCAGTGAAATAAGGAAGTATTCTTTCCTATCATTTAGTTTTTAAACTGAATGTTACTTTCTTCTTCCCATTGCTTAGGTTAGATGCTGAACAAAATCCTCTCCTTTTCTCAGGATCTATTTGAAAAGCAGATTCTTGTCTAACAACTAAGTTGCTTTCAAGACAGTTTGCGTTAATAAGGCTAAGTCACGAACTTGCTCTATTCCTGCTTTAGCCTTTTCAACTGAATACACTTGAAAGAAGTCCCACTGGGTAAGTAACTGCTGGGCAGCACAGGGAGGGAGTTTTAAAAACAAAAACCTAGCTCTTTCCCAGCTGCTACAACTCATCTCTCTATCCTGAGGCCTTTAGTTGAGAGAAGTTTCCTTGCGCATTTAAGTAAAACTTTTCCAAGTGAAACTAGAAATTAGAGGTAAACTATAACAACAGTATGAAATGAGTGTGAGATTTGCTATTCCAAGTGAAAAATAACCATAACTGTTCCTTAGTTTGTTGGGTATGGTATTCTCTCATTTCCTGTCCTGCTTTGTTTAAGTTTGTCTTTAATCAGATGCTGTGTTTTATTCAGAAAGGGTTGCCATTTCAAAGGTAAACTGGTTTTAGGTGTTGACTGGATAAGAGGCATTATGTAAATATAAGATATTAAATACCCATTACAGAAACAGACAAATTAGTGCATTACAGAAAGACAAATTAGTGCATTGGTTGAACAGATTTCTTCTATCTGCAGCATAAAAAAAAGACAAGCTTAGTTAGGGTTTTAGTGCGCCATAGAATTCCTAATCTTCCTGAGTGACCTTGTTGGACTTGTTATGTACTCTCAAATTAAAGATAATGAATTAAATAGTGGTGCTTACCTGTCCAAAGGTTTGTGGGTCTGAAAGCATTGTGCCATCAGCATCTTCATTTTTTGACCCTGCAGATGCTGGTTGTTCAGGAGGAAAGAGGTCATCTAGAGTGCTAGCAGACGGCTGTCTGGGTCGAGGCTTCTCCCATTCTAGGGATGCGACAGGAAGGCTTGGGTTGACAGACTTTTCTTGTTTAGCTATGCTTGACTTCTCAGCTCTAGTTGTCTCTCTTGGAGCAGAATCTTGCCTGTAATATGTTGGAAGGGATTTCTCTCCTTTCTCCATGGACTTGATCTGGCTGGGGGTCAAGGACTGGAATTCAGCCTGTTCACCTTCAACCTTTGAGCGCTCTGCATTTATCTTCCAGAAAGATGATTCCTCTTCCTTCCTCGCTGGCATTAGCCCATCGGAGCTAGGTGCCTTATTACCCTGAGAAGATTTGGGGGCCTGCACAGCGGGAGCTGCTTTGACTAGTTGCCTCTGTTCATTTTGTGAACCTTGTTCTTGTATAGATAAAGATGCAACACTGAATTCCATCTGACTCTGTAGGGATTAAAGGGAAAACAACAATGTATTTCAAATCTCTTTACAAAGGCAAAAATCAATTTACATTATGATTTGAGGATCAAAGGCATGCAATTGGTTATTAAAGTTACTACAAGGATGGTGCATGTATATATGTTTAAAATTTGCACCAAAGGACTTTCAGAACAGAATCACAAAGGCAGTTTCCTTCCAAGCTTCTATGCCTCTAGTTCTATGGTCAGTATAATGAAGATTCTTCCTTCAGTAGCCTAAATCCTATTAAACCTTTTGCAGACCAGACACTACAAGGGAGGTAATCATACATTTGAGCAATCTGATCCTGTCCAAAAGGAGTGGCGCATGCAGATAGTATAGCGCAATGAAAAGAGTAATAAATCCATATTAAGCTAAAGTAGGGATTGTTGGTAGCTAGCTGGGTAACCATTTAACTGATAAGAGATTGCTTATAGGTTAACGGTCGTGGTTAACTGCAACCGTTACTTCCTCCTCCCCCACATGCTCTGCATTTAAAACTCAGCCTGGCAGGCTGGCTCAGTCCCAGTCCACTGGTCTGAGTTTTCAATGAAAAGCATGCAAGGCGGCAGGTGGGAACCAGTCCATGGGGAGAGGCAGCAGTGTGGGGTGGCAGTGGCCCTGCACACAGGGGGCACATCTGCTCTGGGAGCCAGTTTTTAAACCAGCTCTCCTATGCCTGCCATCCTGTGCTGCTGCCTCTGATACAGAGGCAGGGTGGCAGGGGACTCCTTGGGAATACATTAGCTATTGTCCCTACCTCCAGGGCCCACTGAATAGTTATGTAGCTGATAGAAATTGTTTAGTAACCATGTAACCGCAACAATTCTTAACATCCTTAATTTAAAGGATAATATGTTTAGAAAGTACCTTTAATAAGACTTACGCCAAGAAACTTTACTACTTTTGAGTGCCTGATTCCATTATAATGTGTAAGTTGTATGCCAAGTAATGAGTTAAACTTTATAACTTCATCTACTTCTGAAACAGTGGGACATTTAACTATACATGCTAATTAGATAGCAACAGGAATTTTACAAATTGGACCTGACTGGTCCCAGATGAGGGATTTTGCCTGCCCCACCGGGCTTCCTGGCTTCCCTGGCAGCTCCCCTGGGCATCCCAGCTAGGGGCCATGCGTACCAAGGTTCCTGGATCCCACCCCCTGCATCACTCTGGGCTCCCACACTCCCTGCAGCATGCCGGGAGACTCTGATCCTGGAACATCCATGGCTTGGTAGGATCACAGCTGTTGCTGGACCAGAGAATTCCGGTTTATAGAGGTGCAACTTCTAGTACTAAAATTGAAGGAGCAACAAATGTACAGTTAGTTCAACAAAATTTTTATATTACAACATTTTGTAACCGTGGTTATATTGGTTTGTACTACTTTGGAGTAATCAACTGCCAAGAGATCTCATTTTATCGATGGATAAAGGAAACACAGCGAGTTAATGTGACTAACGACCTTTCAAAAATATTGTGATGTCATTAGTAATCTGACTTAGAAAAGCAATGATTGCATTAGTTACTTTACTTATGAGCAGTTTTACTGTAATACATTGCTGGAACCCTGATAGTACTTCACAGGCCACAAACAGACAACTGAGATGTTGTAGAAGACTGGTTTTACAAAATGTACATTAAAATGCTTGTATGTGATGTTTCAGCAAATATGTTTAAATATTTTGTGGTGCTATGATCTAAGATTAAGGTCTAGTTGACTGATAAGCAAATGCTTATCAGATAGTCCATCAACTAGTCAATTCCCCTCTTTCTTCCCACCCTCCCCCCCCACCTCTATCAGAGGCACCAAAGGGTTGGGGGTGGGGGAGGAGGGAGAGAGAGAGTACTTCAAAGTGGCAGCACTGCACAGCTGAGCTGGAGATCAGCTGTGCAGCACTGCCGCTTTGAAACACTGAGGTGGCATTTGAAAGGGGCAGTGCTGCATGGAGCCTGCGGTCAGCTGGGGACTCCCCAACTGATCCTGGGCTCTGTGCAGCATTTCAAGTCAGCAGCACAGATGGACCAGGCTCCATGAGGGCACTTCCACTTTAAAATGCACAAGAACCCCCACTAGGGCCTCTTGTACATTTCAAAGCTGGCACACAGGCTGGAGTCAGTGGGACTCTCCTGGCTGCAGCCGGAGTTCCGCATTCCTCCTTTGAACTGTACAAGGGCTCTTGTACATTTTGAAAGAGAAATGCAGAAGTGCCTATTGAGTAATCGATGGAAATTCCATCAACTACTCAAATTAACTGATTTAACATCCTTACTATGATCCAGAACACTGCAGCACTGTAATGAGTGCCAAAAACAAGTCATTACATTTTTGAAAACAAACAGCAAAAATGGTAAAAAGTTAAATTCTAGAAAATCATTACTGGCTTACCACCACAGGGTTTTAATGGGAAATTAGTTTAGAATAGCATAGACAGCACCCCTCTAATACTAAATTTCTTTGGTTTAGTATTAGACAAATCTATTAAAAATGAGACATTTCTATTCACCTCTGCCTTGTATATTCCCTGCTTGTTGGCCAAACAGGTGGAAGGAGCAGATTCAGAAACTCAATTAGAAAGGACCCTGAACCAGAAAGTGACCAGACACTTGGGAAGAAGCAGAAGCATGGCTATCCAACAGGGAACAGATATGCAGGGAGAAACCTAGAGGGAACTGTATTCAGAGTAAAGCCTGGTCTACAGGTCAAAGATAGGCTGACAGTCACTTTGCAGCTGTGACCAAGGGAAGAGGGCCCTTCCTTGCCATCCCCACCAGACAGCCGCCAGGTAAGCCTGAGCCCCAACTCCACTGAGAGTCTGAGCACCCACCTACATTTTTTATTCATGTGTGAATGGCAATAGAAGTGCTCCGTATTAGTACAAAATGCTTGGATTTTAAGTTAGAGTTCTCCAAAAAAGTTGAAAATGAAATTCAAATCCCCCAGAAAGAAATAAAGCAGCAGCAAACAGGCCTTGAAAGGGAGGGGAGAATCTCTGTAAGCCCAATACAGCCAAAAGCACAAGGTGATAAAACACCAAATATGGTGGTGAGATTATCAGGCACACAGTGTTCATGTTAGGGGTGTAGTGCACCAGACCCTCATAGAGCCTAATGAGGTAATCTTACTGTATAAAACTAGGTCTTGGCTCATAAGGACTATACTAAAAACAGAAAGATGAAAAAGACACTTAAGAGCTATTTTTACATCTTATTCATTTACCAGGAATGTGTAGTATTTTACTCAACACATGGGCACACACAGCCAAAATAAACTGTTTGGCTTGGCAGCCTCAAGACATCTAAGTTGTTGAGACAAAGGCTTCAGAAACACTATCAAAGCAAGCTCATTTTAAGCAGTGTCCAGCATATTAAGCAGCAAAATAATGAAGCAGTCTACTCAAAAGACCAAAAATAATTAATTAAAATAAGGACCTCAACTTGCTGAAGAAAGCAGCCAAATTAGCACAGCAGTGCTCAACAATATGACAAAGATAAGGATTAAAACCTCTAAGTCAAAGAATCATCAAACAGCTTAAAAAAAAAAAACTCCACAAGAAAAAAGCAACAAACCACCCAGTCATTAAAGACTAAAAATACTGTGTGTCCATATCCAAAATAAAATACATTGAGATGAGATACACACACTATGTAACTTCAGAAATAATTGAGATTACAAAATATGAAACAGCAAAATCATGGTCACAGATGTATTTGAGTTAGTCAGTTAAAAATCTGGTCTAAACCCAAATATGTCCTATGTCCATATTGTTAGTATCTAGTTAAAAAAAAAACAATCCTGGCAATAAAGAATACCTGCCCAACATCTAACTTGGACAATTATATTTTGCCTATCAAAGAACCTAATCACAGAAATCAAAGCTGCTATTTACAATCCATGTATGAACAGTTATTACGAGCAAGCTGCTAAAATGAATTCCACCACCAGTGCAGGCAGGAATTTTTTGACCCAAAGAGAGTTAGTCTATAGCAGTGTTTTTGCGAGAGCTGCTGATGGGCCGCTCCAGTTGGTTTATCTAGCAGCTCTTCACCCACTGAGCCTTGTGGCTCCCATTGGCTCTGGTTTACCATTTCCAACCAAGGGGAGCTGTGGCTGCTGAGCCACTAAATAAACTGGAATGGCCCATTAGTAGCTTTGTCAATGAGGGCCCACAGACCACCCTGAAAAACAGTGGTCTATAGCATGTGTTTATAGCGCTGTTCTAAGTCTATAGGTTTTATAGGAACAAAACTGCTACCCAACAGTGCTACTCATGCCAACATATTAGCAACAATATTTAAAACATTGTTTGGAGCTGGCATTATTATACGACCTGTACGAAAGAGACAAAAGCCAGCCCCCACCACTACCAAAAATACCATCTGAGGAATCTGTTTTTTAAAAATTACTTTGCTCAGCCTGGTTTTAGCCTCCATGTGCAAGAGTACTGTTTGTGGACACATACAGGTTGGACCTCACTGGTTCAGCACCCTTAGGACTTCACTGGTTCCGAAAGAGGGGACTTTTTAGACCACGGAAGATCCACTGTAATTGGCCTCCTGGAAGGGGCGGGGCCAACGTGCTTCTAGGCATCCCCATCCCTAGACCATGATTGGTCTGGGGGTGGAGGAGCCCCTTTGCCCTCCCCTTCCCCCTAGGCACCCCTAGGCCCCCATGCCCCTGGCAGGCGGGAAGAGGCTTCACATGCTCCCCCATCCCCAGGCCAATCAGGGCTTGGGTGTGGGAGGAGCGCACGAAGACTCCTCTCTCCTCACACCCCCTCCTGTCCCCCCCGGCCAGGAGCATACGGCACTTCTGTGCTCCTCACAGGGCAGAAGGAGGCTTCGTGCATTCCCTCCACCCCCACGACAATCAGGGCCTGGGGGCAGGGGAGCTGCACAAAGCATCCTCTGTCCTGCCCCCACCCTGTGCGAGCGTACAGCACTTTGAAGTGCCGCGCGCTCCTCGCAGGGCAGGGGGAGGA